TGGTGGTTTGCTGGCAATCTTCGATATTCCTTAGCTTGTAGAAGCATCACCCTGATTTGAGCCTTCATCTTCACATGGTGTTGTTCCTGTGCGTATGTTTGTGTCCAAATTTCCCCTTCTTTTGAGGGCACTGGTCATATTGAAGTAGGGGCCCACCCTACTGTAGCATAACCTTATCCTAACTTAACTAATTCTATCTGCAAAGACCCTATTTCCAAATAAATTCGCATTGTGAGGTACTAGAAGTTAGAACCCTAACATGTGAATTTGGGGGGACATAATTCAGTCCATAATAGCAGGCCTTGTTAAGAAGAACAAAATTCTCTGGGTATATTTCAAAATGGCCGCTTTTCGCCACCCCACTGCTAGAAGCATGATGGGATTTTTCTCTCATCTTCACAGTGAGAACCTGGTGGGCCTCCTGGAGGTAAAACTCATGAAAGTGAGGGAACTTCCCCCGAAGACTTGGCCCCCCTGGAATTTTTAACTCTCAGGTTTCCACACTGAACCTCCAGCAGTTCGTCAATTACGGTTTAATTAAGTTTAACCCAGTACGGTCTCCAGTAGCTGTGGTTTTTATATCTGCTGTCTGTCTCTTTCTAATTTGGGTGGTGGCAGTTTGCCCTGTGACCTCAATACTCAGATGGATCCAGGAAGGATTGTTGATTTTCAGTTTGTTCGGCTTTTTTCCTCTGAGGACGGAAGTGTTAACTTTCAGTGTCTTTACATGCCAGACCAGAAACCAGAAGTCTTTGTTCTCTATATGTTCAGAATTATATGTGGATATCATAATAGATTTATAGTAGTCTGACCCAGCTTCAGTTCAAAATCTGTTTCTGGAAACTGTTTAAAGAATGTCTCTGTGGTGAGGTCACAGAACTGCCGCTCTTCCATCTCTTCCAATTCCATCTATCACTTGAGGCAGAGAATGACATCAGGTTTCTCACCTAAACCTGAAAGTGCACCAGTTTAAGTATTATGGGGAGATGCCAGGACCTGCGTCTTTCCAGTCTTTTTCTACTTGGGTCACATTAAGACAATCTTTCCTAATAGGATTGCTAGCAGATTTTAGTGATGAGAGCTTTGCATTGGGAAGAAAATATACATTACAGGTAACTGCAGTTTTCTTCTTATTAGTGTTATGAATAGTGGAACTTTGGAATATTTGTTTTAGCTATGCTATGAGTTTTTAACTGAAATCTATACAGCGTTGGAATGATCCAAAACTTGATAAGATTATGGAGCTAAATTATTTTTTCTGCCCCTAAAGTCATTGGGCTCGTATTTCTGTTAGCTTATAAAGCCATTCTTCCTGCTTATGTAGGAGAACATTCAAAACAGTATACTTTTTTATGAATATCAGAGAGAAAACAAAATTTCTTTTAAGATTTAAAGGAGGACATTTGGACACTTGATTATTAATCAAACTCTGGAGATGGAAAGTGGCCAAATCCCCTACAGATCTGTCTTCGATCTGCTGTTACATCATTTGATGCAGCAGAATCTTTGCTGTTAGACAAATGGTACACTTGTCTGCTTTGGTCTGTGCCTCGTAAAAGTTTATAAGGGATTGTGGCTCTTCCTGTGTGAGGGGTACTGACAGCTGTGCACAGTGTAATGGGTCATCATGGAGCTCAGAGAGACCAAAGCATGCTACTGCGCTCCTTCTTCCCACAGGATGGGTTTCCATCTAAGCCAGTTGCCTGTCCAGTTTGTGGAACATTGTAACTATGTTAAAGTTTCATATAAATTTTGTAGGTACTGTCTTTGCTACTTATAATAACCACATCTGAAGTATTTTTCAGGCAGATTGGCACGCTCACTCATGTTTTGTTCAGTTGACACAGGATTACATTGTGGCATCTTTAACATGGAATGTATATGGAGGGCTAAAAGTTCAGCTGAGCAGCCTTGTGAAGCAACTTGCTTTGAATTAAAACTATATGGAAAATAATTTACTCTTGTGTGTTGTGAGTGATATATCTGAGTTCTCAGTCTAAAAGGTACCAAGTAGTCGTTAGTATGTCACCACCTCTAAGGACTGGATCTGTGGGAATGAGGAGAGAATTCAAGTAGTCAGGATTTAGGCTAAGCTGAGGTGACCCTAGTTGTCAAAACAAGTTACTGAGGGAAATTGTGAAATCCTCTTCCTTGGAAATCTAGAAGAGTAGTCTAGACTATTTTTGTGTGGTATTTAGAATGAGGAGGAAGGACTCAACCAGACTTTTTTCATTCCTGCACAGCTTTTATTTTCTCTGGCAAATATTTTGAAATCAGCATTTAAATTTTAGAATCAATTTAATGTAATTTTTTCAAAACTGGTAGTTTATCCTTCCCCAGAAATGGCCTAATGTGCAAGATTATAATTTTAAATTATTTTCACAACCTAAGTAAGAATGGATATTTTCTTCAACCTGAATTTTGGGGTGTGGTTGGTATGTGTGTGTTGTGTATTTCACAAGGCAAACAAATGCTTTCTTTTAAAGCTGACAAGATAAAGCCTTGTAAAATTCTCCGTTTTATATATACTTAAATGTTTGTATCTTTTAAGTCAATGCTGTTATTAAAATAGAAATTCCCAAAGAGTAGGTATGCTTTAGGTCTAAAATATGTAATTTTGACAGCCATTAAAGTTAGCAGTGGGTATACGGCAAAGTAGGCAGCTCATAGAAGACTAACAGAAATAGCTTTGGGAAATGGATATAACAAATTGTATTTATATGCAAGACTGATAGCAGTCAGAAATGGGTGTAAATTCATTAATGCTACAGTTTATTTATTAAAGGTTTGGTTATGTTGCTGTTGCCCAATCATTTCCCAGCACACACATTATTTCCCTCGCAGATGAACGCATCAAAATCTATTCGTCTGGGTGATTTGCTTGGTTTGATGCATCTTCACATCTTCAGTACTTGTAAAGAGTTTTGTCAATAAATGTTCTGGAAGTAATTAAATACTCTGATTCATTGGCACATGCTTATGTCTAATCTTAATTTGTTCCATAGTCTTGCATTTATAAGACATATTAGCGGAAGTCTGGTGTAGATAAAATGTTAACACCACTAACAATATGGCAGAGACATCTGGAAAGTACACTGGCTCACCTTAATGTCGAGAAACATTCGTTAGCATTCTCTTTCTCTTTTACCTAATAGTGTTCTGTTGAGACACAACCTTGATCCTACGTACAGAACTATCATTTCCCTGGGTTTATCATGTGCGTCTTCTGCTTTCTCCATGTAGAACTTTCTGACAGGATTTATTCCTAGCTTTACCTGACTTTATAGCCCTAGTCCTTGTAATTTTCACCCCTCTATCCTATATTTCGTTCCCTCTGTTTGCATGCAATCCGGTACACTATTTCCAGTCAGTTCACTTCGGTTCAATGTACGTTTACTGAGCACCTATTTATTATGTGCCAAGACTATGCTAATACTGGGGAAATAACAATGAACCAACACGGTCTTTGCTTTCCCAGTTTATAGTGTAATCAAACAGATAATTTTCAGATTATATGATAAGAACTAAGGTAGTGGTCCCCATAGGGCATAACCAGTCACTTAACAAAATTCCACATTAAAGGCAGTTGTGAAATTTTAAAAAAAATTGAAAATTCGATCTTTGGGATTGACAGTTAATTTGAAGAGATAGTGAATTAGCCCATCAGCAAGTATTGAAAGCATCGAGCAGTAGAACTTACTGAGCTCATCACCCAACCTCTAGTCAAGAGTGAGTGTCACCAAGCTCTTCATTTAGGAAGGATTACCCATATGTAAATATAATTTCTTCTTCTGTAACTGAAGTCTCTTACTAGTAAAAATAAGAGGGCTCTTTACCATCATTTATAGAATATTTAGAAGCCCAGATCCTTCTCTCTGGAGTCCAGAGATTCCCACCTATGGCTCTTGGTGTGCTGTGCGTGGGCTCCAGGTGTTCTTAGAGACTGACCCCCTTGGGTCGTGGGGTGGTTCTTGAGGCACCTAGAATGCCCTGTCATCAATCTTATTTTACTCCGATGGGCCATACAAATATTGTTGCTTTCTCTGTGCCACAATATGAGAAAAGCTGGCAAGTGTTGCTTTAGACAATCTGCCTTAACCTTTCTTCAGAAGGTCAGTTTCCCAAGCAGTCATTTTGTGTCTTATTAACCCTATTTCAATTCTTTATATAAGGAGCTTCAGTTGAGGAATTCCGAAGAGAAGATAGGACTTTCAGTAGGAACTGATTTGTTATGAAACAAGAGAGAAGATGATTCTTAGGTCTCCCGTGAACAACAGTTGATTTTCTAAATAGTTCATTTTGGCCACCCGTAGTTGAGTGTCCTCCATGATACAGCTAATCCTCTACTTCCACAGCTTCTGTGTGGGCACTATGACTAGTGAACTTGGTGAATAGCTGGCAGACAAGGCAAATGAACCCATAAATGTTGTGTATCCTACTATTCATCCAATTTTTTGTTTTAACAACACCCAAATAGTTAGCCGTTACTACATGCAAGACACTGTTGTAGGCTTTGAGAATTCATTAGTGAGAAGATACCTCATGCCTGCCCTCCGAGTTTATAGTCTTGTAGAGAAGATAGATAATTAAAAAGTAATTACATTATGGTGCGTTTGGTGCTGCGAGGCAAGGACAGCGGGGAGTGCTGGTGAGACTGGAAGATGGTTTGTTATGTACAGGTACTCAGGGATCAAATCATTTAAACTGAATTGGGTCGATCTTTGTTTCTTTTAGAGCAACAGTGTGTCTTTTGGTGTTATTCAGAGGCACCTTCATGGAATATTATTTCCTTAATTGTTGAGTGTAAACTGAGAAATACTGTGATTTAGAGTGCCTCTGACGTAACTTACTGCTAACCTAAGTAACAGGGAGACTTTTAATTCGCAACTTTTCCTGACCAGAAGATAGTCTTGGTTTTAAGGTAACATTTTTTTTTTACCTGTAGCCTGAATTATAGATGTGAATAAATAATGCTACTCTCTTGCCTTTTATGCTTTCAGGGAAGGTATTCATGTAAATCAAGAATTGCTGCAAATATCTCCCTGTATTACAGAGCAGTTCATTGAGCTGCTCTGTCAGTTCAACCCGGACCAAGTTATAGAGACGCTGCAAGTCCTTGAGTGCTACCGCCTAGAGGAAACTATTCAGGTGAGACCAGTAGTGTAGCGGAGACAAGCGTGGGCTTTTCCTAATCAGTCACCATTTTACAGGGAGCAAGGGGAAACTCACACAGTGAACCACTTGCCTAAGCTGAAGCTCAAAGGTGGTAGCACCTGAGATTGAACCCAGACAGACTGGCTCCATGGCACATGCTCTTCATTGCCTCCCTATTTAGTAAAGTCAGAAACAGCACGTGTCCATCATTGTTGTTAATCAAGTTTCACAGCTATTCTGACCAACATGATAAGCCTAGAAAAAGGAATACAAGAAACATATTAAAAGGAGAAAACCAAGCTCTTGTTCGCAGGCACTGATGGTGAGATAGTCCTGCTGCGCCGTAAGACTGACTAGGCTGAAGGGAATTCAGTAGCCGTAGCACAGGCTCTGCTTTGGTTCTCTTCCCTTGTTTTCTCCTGTTTCCATATGAGAAGCTAGTACATTCCCCATTTAAAGTTTATTTTAGGGGCTGGCCTGGTGGCTGGCAGTGGTTAAGTTTGTGCACTCTACTTTGGTGGCCCAGGGTTTGCAAGTTTGGATCCTGGGAGTGGACCTAGCGCTGCTTGCCAAGCCATGCTGTGGCATCATCCCACATAAAATAGAGGAAGATTGGCATAGATGTTAGCTTAAAGCCAATCTTTCTCACAAAAAAAAGAAAAGAAAAGAGATTTATTTTTAAACTACCATTATACCTCCTTTCCTTTGCTATCAATACTCATGAAACAGTAAGCTATATTTTTTATTATCCACTTCCTGAACTGCCCACACACTTTAAAATTTTTAAATTATGAAATATTTCAAATATATTGAAATATGCAGAATATCAAATACCTATATACCCACCAACCCAATTTTATAGTTGTTAACATTTTGCCGTACTGGCTTCAGATCTTTGATGTTTTGTTGTTGGTTTGTTTTAGCAATAAAGCACCTTTTATGCATCACATTCCCCTCTTCTCCCCTGAGGTCCCCACCAACCTCACGATGGGAAGTTTCTTCTTCCCATTCGTGTTTTTTATTTTTCCTATTTATGTGTTGATCTATAAAATACGTGATACAGTCTTACGTGTTTTTGGAATTTTTATTAATGGTATCATAATACATATCTCATTGCAAATTTCTTTTTTCATTAAATGTTTTTAAACCTATCATTTTTTATACATGTAGATCTAGTTCATTTTAATGGTTGTATAATATTCTATTGAGTGAATATGCTACAGCTTATTTATTTCCCTATCGATAGGCATTCATATTGCTTCCAGTCTTTTACTTTATAAGCAACGCTACATTATACATCCATGTCATATTTCCTTGTGTTTCCATGTGAGGTTTCTCTAAATAATACATCTGGAAGTGAAATTCTTGAAACAATAGAGTAGCTTAATTCTACTGATATTACCAAGTTGATTTTCTGTTTGTTTCTATTCTCATCATCAGTGTTTGATATTTGCTGTTTTTCCACATTCTCGCTGATTACTAATATTTTTAGACTTCTTAATTTTTACCCGTGTGATGGATATCATTGATTACGTATGACATTGAGCATTATTCCATATATTTAATGACCCTTTTGATTTTCTTTTCTCTGAATTATCTATTCATATTATTTGCCCTTTTTTCTACTGAGGTTTTGCCCTTTGCTTGATTTCTGTTTCTTTCTCATTTCTGCATCTCTAATCCTTTGCTGATTTGGTGTGTTGGATATGCCTTCTTGCAGTCTTTTGTGGCATGTCTTTTAACTTGGTTTTTAGTGACTTCTATTTTATCAGTCTTTTCCTTTAAGGTTTAAACTTTTTTGTGTGTCTTATTTCCTTTCATAATTTTATGGCATAAAAGATAGCCTCTTATATGAGTTATATAGTTTAGCTTTTTACATTTAGGCTTTTAATTCATCGGGAATTTATTTTTGTAAACAGATCGTGAGAGATTTGTATATTTTTTTCCACATCCATAGCTAATGGTCCATGGGGCATTTTATCATCTTTTCGTCACTGACTTATAATGCCACACCGCTGCATACCAAACTCCCAAATATACGTAGATCTGTTTGTGGATTCTGTTGTGTTCCTTTGGTTATTTGTCTTTCCTTATACCCATACCACATATTTTAATTAATACAGCTTTACAATAAGGCTTATTATTTGAAATAAGAGTCTTCCCCCTTCATTCTTTTTCTTTAAAATTCTTTGGCTACTCTTGGCCTCTTACTATTCTACATCAACTTAGGAATCACATTATCAGGTTCTTTTAAAAAAAATTCTTCTGGGATTTTGATGAAAAAATACATTGAATTTGTAGATTAATTCAGGGAGATTGACATCTTCTGGTATTGAGTCTCCATATTCAGGAATACGGTTGTCTTTTCAAAAGATCTTTTATGCTGTTTGGTGAGATTTTATTACTTCTATATAATATTTTATATGAGATTCTTGCACACATTTTCTTAAATTTGTTCCTAGAAACTTATACTTTTTGTTAACATTGTGAAAGGAAATTTTTTGAAAATTTTTTTATTGATTGCTGCTGCTATAGGTTAATAATTTTGGTGCATTGTTTTGTATCTGGTAACCAGGCTGAGTTCTTTTTTCATTCAACTAGTTTCTAGATTTTTTAATGACAAAGATATTTTATGAGAATAAAGGTACTTTTGGGTTGTTTTCTTTCCAATCTTATACTTTTTTCTGCCTCTTATCAGATGTCTAGGAGCTCTAGGATATTATTGAGTAGAAGCAGTGACAGTATGCATGCTTGCCTTGTTCCTGATTTAAAAACGAACGTGTCTAACATTTTACATTAAATATGGTGTTTATTATAGAATTTTAATAGATAATTTTTTATTAAATTAAGAAAGTTCCATTCCCAGTTGTGTTTTGTTTTTGTTTTTGTCAAGACTGGGTGCTGCATTTTATCAAAGACTTTTTCTGCATTTATTGAGATGATCACATGTTTTTCTCCTTTAATCTCTTTACCTGTTAACATGTTATTTGGGCCTCTCTTTTTTCTTACTACTAAGAAAGTTTTATTCTACTTTATTAGTTTTTTCAAAAACTAATTTGGGGTTTGTTAAACTTCTCCATTGTTTCTCTGTTTCTTTTCTATGGCATTATTTTCTGTGTGTATTTTCTTTCTTTTGTCTTCTTAGCTTAATTGGTATGTCTTTTTCACTTAGTAGAAACTCTTAATTTATTAAATTTTATTAAGATCCCTCAAGTTGACGTGGAGTGTTTTCTTTGTCATTTTGTTCTAAATGTTTTGTGTATAATTTCACTTACCAATTTCCGGTTTATATTATTACTATTTATGTGTATGTGTTACTTTTTCTCCAATAGACCTTATTCAGATGTGTAACAATGTTTTAAATAGATCAGTGAAAAAAAATGGATGAACGTAGTCCAGTTAGAACTGCCAAATGGGCCACTATAAAACTAGAAGGCCAAATATTTGCATATTATACTGTAAAGTAGCGTACTACTAAGGTATGAATTCGTTATTTATTATCATGCAGTATTTTCATCCTTAATAGGATCTTCTCACTACACAGACGAGATTTGTGAACAAAAATCTCTATCTTTTCTTCTTTCCTAGATTACCCAGAAGTATCAACTTCATGAAGTCACTGCTTATCTATTAGAAAAGAAAGGAGATATTCATGGTGCCTTCTTAATAATGCTAAAGGTAACATTTTACTCTGTTTGCTTTGTCCTGTTTCTGTGTAGCCCTCTATCAATTCATCAGTCCATCTTTTTTAGTTGAGATATAATTGACATATAACAGTGTGTAAATTTTCATCAATCCATCTTAATTTCTTATGTTTCAAAGTAAGTTGCAGACAATAGTGCATTTTACCTCTAAATATTTTTATCATGCATGTCATTGACTAGAGTTCAATATTTCTTTGTGGGTTTTTTTAAGGTAAAATGCACATACAACAAAGTTCACAAGTCTTGTGTACCATTTAATGAGTTTTGACAAGTGCATACACCTGTATGTATAGCCCTAGTTCCTAACAAGACAGAGAACATTACCTTCACCCCAGAAAGTTCTCTTATACTTCTTCATAGTCTGTTCTCAATCCCATCCCCCCAGAGGTAACCACTCTTCTGATTTTTTTCATCGTGGATTAGTTTTGCTTGTTCTGTTCATTCATGTTAATGGAATTGTACAGTAGGTACTCTTGTGTAATTCTTCTTTCCTTCAGCATAATGTTTTTGAGATTTATCTATGTTATTTCATGTATCACTAGTTTGTTCCTTTTATTGCTGAGTCACTTAATTGTATGAATATAGCACAGGTTATCCATTCTCATGTTGATTGACGTCTGGGCTATTTCTAGTCTTTGGCTATTATGAATAAAGCTACTGTGATCACTCCTATACACAAATGTTTTTATTTCCCTGGAGTCAATACCAAGGAGTGGAATTGCTGGGTCACAGGATAGGTATAGGTTTAGTTTTATAAGAAGTTATCAGATCTCCTTCCAAAGTGGTTATACCACTTTACATCCCACCAATAGTGTATGAAAGTTGCTCCACATTCTCAGCAACAGTTGGTGTTCTATCAATTTTTCAAAGAATTTTTTTCCATTTTTTTAGTTGTTATGAAATATGCATATCATAAAATTTACCATTTCAGTGGCATTAAGTATATTCGCATTGTTGTGCAATTATCACCACCATCCATCTCCAGAACTTTTTCAACTTCCCAAACTGTAACTCTATACCCATTAGACAGTTACTCCCCATTCCTACCTCCCTGCTCCTGGCAACCACCATTCTACTTTCTGATTCTTTCACTTTGTTTACTCTATGTACCTCATATTCATGGAGTCATACAGTGTTTTTTTTGTGTGTGTCTAGCTTATTACACTTAGTATAATATCTTCAAGATTTATCCATGTTTAACACGTGTCAGAATTTTATTCCTTTTTAAAGCTGAATAATATTCCATTTTATGTATTATATTGCATTTTATTTATTCATCCATTGATGGACACTTGGGTTACTCCCACCTTTTAACTATTGTGAATGATGCTGCTATGAACATGGATGTACAAATATCTTTTCAAGACCCTGCTTTAATTTCTTCTGGGTATATATCTAGAAAGAGAATTGCTGGATTAAATGGTAATTCTGTTAATTTTTGAGGGATTGCCATACTGTTTTCTATGGTGGCTGCGCCATTTTGCATTCCCACCAGCAGTGCACAGGGGCTTCAGTTTCTCCACATCCTCACCCACACTTCTTATTTTCTGTTTTCTTGATAGTAGCCATCCTAATGGCTGTGAAGTGTTATATCTGTTTTTTAAATATTATCATCTAGCTAAGAATAGATTAGGGATGTCCTTTTTATGTCAAAAACTACTCCATATTAGCTTCTAGGTTTTTTATAGCCATATAAGTGTAAAGCAGGCCAGGAAGAATATGCTACAAAGGCTTTGTGTAGGCTCTTAACCTCTTTTAATCTGTAAGTTACCCCTACATCCATTTTTTCCTTGTAATTTATTTGTTGATAGCATGAACCTGGTTTTAAAGGCTAAGTAAAAGTATTCCTGGCATGGATGGAGGGAAGTGAAACAAGAAATCCTCACAGGGAATAAGGCCATCATTTGCAAAGACATGGGAATACAAAGAAATATGAACTGCTAGGAGAGCAGCCAGCAGCTTTATTAGAGCTCAACTATCAATACGCAGGTCAGGTTAGAAACAAAGGCTAAGTCCAGATTTGGAAAGATTTTGTAGAACATGCTAAAGAATTAGGACTGATTCTGTTGTCACACAGGATCAGCTAAAGGTTTTTAAGCAAGGAACTGGCATAATGTTGTTGTTTCATAAAGACTGCTCTGATCACTGTAGGAAGATCTGGCGGGGAGGGTGTGCAGAGAAGTGCGAGGTAAAAACTCAAAACAGAGCATCTGTGAGGCTGTTGAGTAGTACAGCTATGAATCAGTGAGGGCTTAAGCTGGGTGTGGCAGTGGCGGTGGAGTGAGAAGAAGAGGTGGATTTGAGAACTATTGATCATTTCTATATGGTGTGGAATAAATGAGAAGTATGGTGATTCTATGATTTTTAGGTTAACATTGGCCTATATGGGACCTAAAGAAAAGGAGCAAATTTTGCGTAAAATGGATGTGTTATGGTCAGTTTCAATGTATATTAAGACACCTTTGGAATATCAGTTAAGGGTGTCTAAGGGTCTAGAATTTAGTACAATAGTGGACACTACAACTGCATATTTGTGAGATGTCACACTCAAGGCTGTCCCCTGTGCTATAGGGATAGACTTATATGTCCTTTTTTATTCCCACCCACCTCTTTTTCTCATAACCCACTATGAATTTTATTCCCTTATTCCAAAGCATAGATAAATCCTAGTCCTCATTACTGTGCTTAAAGAATGTCAGTGATGACTGTGTGGTAGTGCAACAGAAGCAGAAGTGGGCCGAATAAGTGATACGTGATATTTTGGGTCCCTTCCGATACTGCTAGCTCTACTTTCTGTGTACACAAGAATGCTCTTCTGAATGATAGTAAGAAACCATTCTTAATAACCTTGTTGCTTCTTGAGGATTTTTCTTTAACATATGTTAATTCAAATATGTGGTGGATTAGAAATACAAAGTGTTCCTTTTACCCCTGCATTCTTTTTTACCTCCTAGAGACTACAGAGCAAACTTCAAGAGATAACACATCAAGAAGAAAGTAAGATCTTGGGTATAATTTGCAATTTTTTCTCCAAGGGATCCCATGTTGTAAAAGTTGTTGTCTAATAAACTGCATTTATTGAGTAATAATTAGATTCATCTGCATAATTACTGTTTATCCACTTTAACATTGATCTTAATTTTAGCTCATTTTCAAGGGCTCTTAGTAGGAAATTGTAGAATCCATTGTGGCTTTGTGATGCAAATTGTCAGCGGAGGTCAGTATAAAATTAGGCACTTTTTGCTGCTATGATTATTCTTTTGGTTATATTTCTGTACTGTTTTTTGGTTATATATAAATGAGATGCATAACTAATGTCATAAAAGTTACTATAATGTGCTGAGCAACAGCAAGTCAGAGCTTCTAATCAGTAAATAGCCAGTGTTTCTGTACTGAATTTATATAATTTTAGCACAAAGTGGTAAAACTTGACAGTTGAGAATCTTGAATGGCTTTGTCATGGGTAGATATATAATTCTCATTATTTTCCTTAACGTTTAATATATATTTATTGTTTTCAATTGTGGAAAAGTATACATAACACAAAATTTACCATTTTAACCATTTTAAGTGTATAGTTCAGTGGCATTAAGTACATTCACATTGTTGTGCAGTTACCACCACCATCTACGGAACATTTTCAACTTCCCAAACTGAAACTCTGCAGCCATTAGACAATCTCTCCTCATTCCCTCCTCCTTCCTCAGCTCCTGACACCCACCATTCTACTTTGTGACTCTATGAATTTGACTCCCTACTCTAAGTACTTCATATATGTGGAATAATAGTATTTGTCCTTTTGTGTCTGGCTTATTGCCTTAGCATAATGTTTTCAAGATTTATCCACGTTCTAGCCTGTGTCAGAATTTCATTCCTTTTTAAGGCTGAATAATATTCCCTTTTACTTATATACTGCATTTTGTTTGTCCATTCATCTGCCAGTGGGTACTTGGGTTGCTTCCACCTTTTGAGTCTTGTGAATAATACTGCTCTGAACATGAATGTACAAGTATCTTTTCAAGACCCTGCTTTTATTTTTTCTGGGTATATACCCAGAAGTGAAATTGCTGGATTAAATGGTAATTCTATTTTTACTTCTTTGGGAAGCCACCATATTGTTTTCCATAGTGACCATATCATTTTACATTCCCACCAGCAAGGCACAAGGGTTCCAGTTTCTCCACATCCTTACCACACTTATTTTCTCTTTTCTTGTTAATAGCCATCCTAATGGGTGTGAAGTCATGTCTCATTGTGCTTTTGATTTGCCTTTACCTAATGATTAGTGATGTTGAGCATCCTTTTCATGTTCTTATTGGTCATTTTTATGTCTTCTTTGGAGAAATGTCTATTCAAGTCCTTTGCCCTCTTTTGAATTGGATTATTTTTGTATTACTTGACTATTTTCAAAATAGCCCTCCCAAAGTTCAAAGAATCAGTTGAAAGGTGATTGTTAGATTGTCCTGCCTCTTTAACACACCAGCACATTTCTTGAACCCCTTGGCCCACACATTTCCCTAAACACTTTTACCCTAATTTTGTGTAGATTACTTGCTTATCTATATTTTTTGATGGTTAGGACCTAGGTGATAGGTATTATACTGAATCTTTTTGGAACTTCAGTAAACACGTGATTGACTTTTCCATATTTAACTCAGCTAAACATTTAGCTATTATTTTTGTACTGTTGCTATGTGTTCAGTCAATTTAACTTTGTTAGATTTGTTGCATTTATGGTATTTTTCTTTTTGTTATAAGAATAATTTTTGCAGACATGAAAGATTGAGGGAAAAATAAGAAGACTGTTTCCCCTAAACCACAACAATGATTTGCAAGTGGTATGTCTAGGGAAGCCAGTACGTTGAATTCCAATGAAGATAAATTTCTCAGTAATAGTCTTACATCTACCATTTATTTTCAGCTTCAGTTTTTTTCAGTATGCTTAAGAATTTTGGAAGATTTGCTAATTGCAAGATAATGTGCTAGTTCCTTTGGGTTATAATATACATAGATGGCTAAAACACAGTCCTTACCCAAAGAACTACAGTCTTGTGAAGGAGACAGACATGTAAATAAAAATATCTAATGCTGGTAGAATCAAGTATTATAAAAGAGATACAGTGAGAGTGGCAAAGGATGTGGAAAAGTGGGGAACTGTTTGTAACTGATGAATCAGAGATACTTTTGTGGAAGAGGTGACCTTTGAAGTAGGATTGGAATGACGAATAGGAGTTTGATAGGCAAAAGCAAGAAAGGCCTCTAGCCTGAAAACATGAACATGAAAGTTCCTGGCTAGTAACCTGAAGGAGTGAGAAATAATCCAGTGATGCAAGAGCACAGGGTGAGAAGATGAGCCAGAGTGTTTACCATGTTTACTTACATTCTGTTCTTTTTTTAAAGAATTTTTTATTTTATCTTTTTCCTTTTTCTCCCCAAAGCCCCCCGGTACATAGTTGTATATTCTTCATTGTGGGTCCTTCTAGTTGTGGCATGTGGGACGCTGCCTCAGCGTGGTTTGAAGAGCAGTGCCACATCCGCGCCCAGGATTCGAACCAACGAAACACTGGGCCGCCTGCAGCGGAGCGTGCGAACTCAACCACTCGGCCACGGGGCCAGCTCCCTTACATTCTGTTTTTAAAAATTAGAAGTCTTTGATGGTTTTGTGGATGGGACAGATGTGTTTGGACTCGTACTTGAGAAAACTCTAGTGACAGTATAAAAGGGAATGAGAAAGGCAAGATTTGGAAGTCAGAAGTTTAATTAAGAGGCTGTTGCAGTGCAAATGAAGTAATGAAGAGCTCCACCAGCATAAAAGTAGTGGGCTTATGAGAGTAAGGAAGTAGAATCAACAAAATTGGCAGTTTATTTGAATATGTGGGTGAAGGAGAGGGAAGCATCAAAGATAGTGAAGATTTACAAACTGGTTGACTTAAAGACGATGGTTCCCTTAACTTAGTTTGGAAATTTAGGGGAAGGAACAGATGTGAAGCGAGAAAGATGAGTAGGTTTTTTCACATATAAGGTTCAAGGTTCTTGCAGGACATCCATGCAGAGATAGATTCCTAGAGTCTGTCGAAAATTCAACCTGCAGATTATGAAAGGCATGAGGGCCAGAGGTGTGTACTTGAAAGTACAGCAATGTCATGAGAGTTGAAACCATAAGAGTGGCTGAAATTATTGAAAAAGGAAAAGGAAAAGGCCTAAGATAGTATTTTGGAGGAATTACCTACATTTAAGAAATAGGTGGAGGAAGAAATGGTAGAGCAAGAAACGTGAAAGATAATCTCTCTACTAACTAATCCCCAAACAGATGATTGAGAATTTTCCATAGCTAAAGAATATTAAAATGCTAAGTATGATGTGCTTTGAATGTACTGTGAATGTCAAACATTTATATGGAAAACCCCCATTGCACAGAGTTATCTGTTTTTTAACTGCTAAACCTCTGTATCAGGTCTTATAGATGATTCTATAATAGAAAACTAAAGCTATGCAAAGAAAAAATAGTTTAATTTTTTATAGAAACTCTGAGATTATCAGTAATGTATCCTTAAGTGATGTGAACAATTTTTTCTGAATCTAGATACTAAAGAGGATTCCTCATTGAAGGATGTTGAAGATACCATGGTAGAGACAATTGCCCTTTGCCAGAGAAATTCACATAATTTGAACCAGCAGCAGCGAGAGGTAGGAGAATGACTACATAGGTACTTAAAAGTCTGTTCTGGTCTGAAACTAGGAATTAATTCTATTTCCACTGCCCTCTCAGCTACCTGAGTTTAATTCAACTGGATTTTAATCACTGTTTAGTGCTCCCAGGAGTCTAAGACTCCTAAAGTTATTATAGGAGTGCTGTCTTCTTTGTTCTCACAAAAGGCTTTATATTCCTAGATTTGGCTGTGCTGCAAAAGTTAGGTGTATGAATAACTAGATGTCCTCGTTCTCTTGGGACTGAGATTTTGTGTATTCCGTGTAGTGGTACTGTGGATGTGTCATCATTTATCATCTCCTCCATTCCCTATGGATGAAAGTGAGCTTGAAGAACCTGAGGAAAACCCTCAAGGGATACAGAGAAAGCTGGAAAAAGGTCAAAGAAGGCTATGATATAGTAGTTCTCAACCTTGGCTGCATATTAGAGTCACCTGGAGAGCTTTGAAAAATCCCAGCACTCAGACTGCACCCCAAATCAATTAAATTAAAGTCTCTGGGGCTGGGACCCAGTCGTCAGTATGTTTTAAAGCTTCCCACATGCTTTTGCTGTGCAGCCAACATTGGAACCACTGCTGTAACAGATTCCAGACTGCAAAAAGGGAGAACACAAAACTGAAGGCGGTATAGTTGAGTGCCTGGTGCAGGTAGGAGTTACAGCAGTGAAGCAGAAACTAAGGGGGCGAGATGTGACTTGACTAAATTCTGTAGTAGCAGCATGATATGGCCATAACTCCTCTGTGCCTGCCCCTCCAGGCTCTGGCCTCCTTCCAGTGCCTGGGTTTCTGAAATGAGAAGCAGGGTAAATTTTTTATGTATAGTTTTAGCCATACATGTTACAGTGAAAATAATAAACTTGGTGTGTTTTCTGTTCTTATGAGATGGGTAAATTTCTCCTTTATGTTTTTGTCAAGGATTTTTTAAGGTCATAAATTTTGAAGACCCTTTAGAATATAAATCATATGTAACAGACACATTTACATAATAGATGTGATTTTTTTCTTTATTAAAAAAACTTTTTTGTGTAAAATGATACATCCTGTCATTTTTAAAAATCCTGCAATACAGAAAGTTACACAGAAGGATGTTTTAAAAAAAATTACCCTGTATCCATCCTGTCACCCAGAAATAACCATCATTATCATTTTGTGAATATCATTTTAGATATTTTTTATCTGCCTAGGTTGGCATAATTTTAGAAAAATTGGATCAAATAATGCCTGCTTTTAAAAATAAATATAGTATTTAATCTTGTTTGGCTGCATGCCCAGTTGGGTAAGGAGTGCAAGAGAGGTTGCAGAGACCGAAGAAAAGACCTGGAGATGGCAGGCAAGACATATGGGTTTATTAGGAGTTACATACAGGGAATGTCCAGTGGCGGCCAGCTGGATGGAAGTGTGCACCCACTACCTCCCCCTGAGAGAAGCTTGCCTAAGTAGGCAGAGGAACAAAGGCTGTGTGCCAGCCGAGAGGCATTGTCCTTGTATGACCTGCATTCCAAGGACCAGAGCTCCCCACAGGGGGCCTCTGTGTTCCCTCAGACCGCAGTGGTCTTTGTGCTAACTATCCCACGAGAAACAGCTGGGTTGGCCAAGCCCAGGAGTGTTATCATCATGAGTGCTGGCACGCAGCCCAGACAAGGGGCTGCAAGGACACATGGTCTTAAAGGGCACACGGGCTAGTGCGCCTACAAATCTCGTTTAGGAAGCTTATGTTAAAACTGAGGAATTTCTGAGTTACAAATAAATATTTCTTCGCCATACTATCTCGCTTAATAAATCTCACTGAAGTTAAAAAAAAATCTGAATAACTGTAATAGATTGGAATTATGTTTATAATTACATTTCAATTTTATAATATCTATGATGCGAAGCCAATAAGGAAACTTGCATGAACTTCTACTTGCTCCAATCTCTCTTCTCCATTCCTCTTAATTTTAATTACTTATGTTATTCTACCTCATTAAGGTTAATAACACATTCCTTTCTGTATCCGTAATTCCCATAGTTGTTTAATCTCTATTTAAGTGGTTGTGGGCTTTACACCAGTCTTTTTGCCATGACTTTGCCATTCCTCAGTTTTTATTTTCATTTGTCTTTTGGTTAGCTGGCTATATTTGGACATGGTTATATTTTGGTAGAAAAACACAAAAGGGTAGAATTGTTAAAACTATGTTTATACATATTTAATACCAAGCCTTTTTTTATTTTTCAACCTTCCATCTCTTCTCTAATATCTATTTGATACTCTTCCTTTTTCTCATGGAAAATTTAAGGAAAAAATGACAGTTGTGATTTATAAATAGAGCCATTTAGGTTCACATAAGCCGAAATAGGTCTAGATTCACATATATTAGTAGTAGAATTAGATATAAAATCCATGCCTCCAGAACTCCAGGGATTATTCTGATTATATTTGAACTCAGTATCTCTTAATCAGAGATAGGGACAAGGCTTTCTTCAATGTGACAAAGGAAAATTTATTCTATCTTTTTTTGGTCCAAAAAAAATATGTCTGAGTTGGAAATTGTCTTAATAAAGATATTAGATGTTAGACTTCTTTCTATCCTTTGAAATTTTCACTTCTCTAAGATTATTACACCATTTACTGGCTGCATATAAGAGAAGTCTGTCTGTCTCCCTCTCTTAGACATAAACACACACACACACACACACCCCTCCTGCCACTCTACACCTCCCCCAACAACTAACTAGTTCTGCTTCCTTTCTGAACAAGTTTCATAACAACAAAAAAAATTTGAATGATGGTTTTTATGTAAATACTATTTTTGTGAAAATGCTAGACTGATTTTATATAATACCACACAGTAAGTTTGGGAGATGGTTGATTGCCTTTTTTCTCTTTGTTTTTGTTTTGTTTTATAGAGAGTGAGAACAAGAGCTATTATCACAGACCCTAAACTAACTAGAAAATTTGAAGTATCCAAAAGCTTGAAAATGAACTGTCTCTAATATTTCTTTTCAAAAGTTTCATCAGAAGATTTAATAATATGTAGTATTTCCTTAAAGTTAGACCACAGGAAGTTGGGTTGTCAGTCCTTTCCCAAGTAGAATCGGGACCTGTCCTGCCTTTTTTTATCTGTCTATTTATGCTGCTACCCGAGGGTCCTGTGATTACATAGAACGAATAATATGGCCGTGTTATGCATATAATTTCCTGAAAAGAAAGCTATTTATTGCATAACATGAGAAAGTAATTCAGGTTTAATTGTGTTGCTCTCAGGGGTTAGGATTGTCATTGTCATGGATGGTTATTTTAGCCTATGAGTTTTTAGAGTTATCCAAGGTAAAATTTTAAGAACCAATATTAAAGTGCAAGAGAGAGAAAATATTTAAGAAGTGTTCGCCATATAGTTAGGGTTAATGTAGACGTTTAATTGAAGAATACCTTCTATTTAAGGTATGAACACATCCTCAGGCTGTTACCTCTACAGCCATGTTTCCCCTAGTCTGCATCTATAAATCATGAATAAAGTAAACTTTAAGAAGATAATTCTTCTAAATTGTCCAGATTAAATAAGAAAATTTAAAAACCAAATTTCTAGGGGCCAGCCCAGTGGCACAGCAGTTAAGTTCGCACATTCTGCTTCAGCAGCCCGGGGTTCTCTGGTTCAGATCCTGGGTGCAGACTTACACACCGCTTACCAAGCCAGGCTGTGGCAGGTGTCCCACATATAAAGTAGAGGAAGATGGGCACGGATGTTAGCTTAGAGCCAATCTTCCTAAGCAAAAAGAGGAGGGTTGGCAGCAGATGTTGGCTCAGGGCTAATCTTCCTCAAAAAACAAAAAGTCAAATTTCTAAGCATAGTAAATATAAAACCCAAAAGATAATAATTAAATATGCCATGTATCATTAAATTAAAAGACCATAAAATGCACAGAAATAAATGATGTGATTGTGAAAATAAGTTAAAATAGGCAACTAAAAGGTAAGCTAAGTAAAGCTATCTAAGAATAAAATACAAGATTAAAAGTTCATGAGTACTGGATAAAGTAAGTTAAAATTTCGATAAAATAAAGCATTTCCGGGATGTAACATAGTATCTCAAGAATTTGAAGAAATACATAAAAAGTCAGCAATATAATATTCTGTTCTTAGGAAAACTCAAGTGGGGACAGATAAGGGCTTCCTAGTAGAGCTCTTCAATGAGAAGTCACCCAATGGAAAAGTCACTGGACCCTTAGCCTGTCCCCTTTGCCTTAAGGGATTCCCGTATCTCCATTGCCAGCTGAGTTCTACAGTGTCAGATGGAAGGGTACACGACATGCCCTCTTCTGTATATAACCACTCTTTCTTTGCTCTGTCAATGCTTGCTTTTCTTCATGGCTCCTGGATGTTTGCAGGAGTAGGTTCCTCCCAAGATAATGGATTAAGGCCCTTGTAAATCATTATCCAACAAGAAAACATGTTTGAAATTTTAAAATGTATTAGTTTGTTTTTTGATGATAAGTATTTTTCCTAAGGTTTAGGAAGAGCACAGAATTTAGAATCAGACTGCCAGTTTGCTGACACTGTGATCTTTGGCAAAATTACTTAACTTCCCTAAACTTCCGTTTCTTATCTCAAGTGAAGATAATGCTTACTGTATAAAGTTATTATGAGATTAAAATGAGAAAATGTGTGTAAAGCGTTGAATACAGAGCCCAACATAAGAGGAATAAATAAATGATAGATCTGTTAATTTATCTCAGGATGTAGTTGGAAATATTAATTGAAAGTATGTTAACTTTCGCTTCTTGGTCTGTGATGACTAAGGAAATACAAAATAATGCTTGATATAGGAAAAAACATTGGATAACCTTTATCTTGCTTGACATAGCTGAAGAGAGTTGGGGGGATAAATGTCGGTGGGTACTCTGTTCTCTTCTGCAGTACATCGGGTTGTTTAGACTTTGACAGTGATGCATTTATACCAGAGAATGTAAGAACCCAGCAGGAAGCTCCTTTGAACCTACTCTTTCTTGAGACACAGAAGGCTGCAGTTCCAAGGTCTAGATTTACTTAACTTCATCTCCCTTATTTTCCCAAGGTGCATGGTAAAGGTGTCTGTTCTTGCTATGGTCCCTGCTTTTTATTGTCTTTTATCTTACCAGTCAAGTGTTCCATCTTTTCTTTTTAAATTTTTACCAACAAATGTATATGAGAAGTACATTTCAACTTGTAAAACACTATGCTGATGTTAGCTATTCTTAAAAATAACCGAGCACTTTGGTTTTTCTTTGGTTTCCTCTGATATTATAGGCACTCTGGTTTCCATTATTAGAGGCAATGATGGCCCCTCAGAAGTTGTCTAGTTCAGCAGCTCCTCATCTACATGCTGAAGGTAAGTTCATCAAAGTCCACCTATACCGTCACCCGATTTTTATCTGACAAAAGTTATCATTTATGATACCTTTCCCCAGTACCGTATTCTTATTATTTTCCTTAATGAAATCATATTGTAGTGTTGATCTCCTCTTTCGGGTTCAGTTCTTTCTGTGGCACCAATATATCATTTGTCTTGAATAATAGTGGCTTTGCAACTTACCAAGAGTTAACTTTAAAAATATCAAACTGGCCTTGGTTAGCTAAGTTTCTGGGAAGCTATATAAGTCCACTATTTTCCACTGACAGATAGGAAAAGCCAAAAACTCTTATTTTCAACTAACCTTAATATTAACATTTTATTATAACAGCTCTGAAATCTTTGACCATGCAAGTCCTAAACAGCATGGCAGCATTTATTGCCCTTCCATCAATCTTGCAAAGAATCTTACAGGTAAGTTAAAAGGGGGAAAAATACAATTGATCAATTTCAACTAATATTTTAGTTATGTGTACATAACAGCAAATTGGACTAATGTTTAAATGAGTCTCAAGAATCACACAGCTAATATTTGGCATTAACTGAATATCTAACCTGTGATTCTCATCCTTGAATCTTTCCTAGCACTCCAGGGGTGTGGGCTTGCCTGGCACACACTTGGGACCTTCAGTTAGTGAGTGCAGCCTTCAGATGTTCACTGTTAACCTTGGGATGTAGATATACAAGCTTCCTATTGGTGTGCTAACTAGGAGAGAATTGCCATTATTTCCAGCTGATTATACTTTTCTAGATCAAAAAAAGATAACCTAAAAATTAAGTTAATATAGGCATTTCTTAATCCTAGGTTGTTACTTAGTTTTTCTAACTCATCCTAAAACTTACTCTATGTCCAAGACTCATCCTCTACTCTAGATTCTGGCCAGCTTTCTGTCCAAAGCCTTTGTAGGAAACATCATTCTAGCCTGTTTTCTTCAGCAAAAATGGCTGAATTTTTCCAACTTCATCAAAAGGAGAACACTGAAATTACACTAAGACATAGTTTTAGAAAAATCTGTGAACATTCTTGGGGAAACAGCAGGAATTATCCTTAGAATCCATTTTATCTTCCTTCGCTTTATGTAGTATAGAGACACACACACAAATCAAACAGTAATATGATGCTATTGGTCTTTATAATTTTCAAATGGTTTTTATCCAATCAAGAATATCCCTGTCAGCTCTCCTTTAAGACTCTCCAAACTCTCTTCCCATCTGATATTAAACATCTGGGCCTTTGCTGATAAAGATTGCCGCATCCAGTAGTCTCCCTTCACATAGTACGTTACCATTTAGAATGTGTCTTCACACATATTATCTCACTGATCTTTATCATGTATTGAATAATTCTTTGATAAAGACTACTTCTCTTATGTCCATTTTAAAATACGTCAGTCTTAAGATTTTTAATCATATATAAAGTAATATCTCCATAAGGCAGAAATACTTTAATTTACCAAGTAAATTAGAAAAAATGAAATCTTAAAGCCAAAAGTGTCTTCTCTCTCAGTGTATGCATTTTGCTTTGTGTTGAGCTTTAACTACACATGAAGATACATAAATTATAATAAATAAAAATCTGTTTTTCCCTTGGCAAAAGCATATGATTTTTTAAAAATTTCGTGTTTCAAGATTTATGTCTTTAAAGGCTTTTTATATTTGAAAATCTTCACTTTATTTTGAGTGATGCTGGCATTCACTGTAATTGTATTCTTATCATTTTCTACCTTCAGTGGTTGTTAACTCCCACTAATCAGGAAGGTGTGCTGTTTCTTAAACTCCTTGTTTGCACATTTATGATTACTATAATAATAATTCTACCTTGTATTTGTATAGAGATTTTTATTTTTTCAAGGTGCTTTCAGAGATATTATCTCATTAAGCTCACAACAGTCTCTTGTTGTAGGTAGGGCTACTGTAGCAGTTTCTGTTGATGAAGGAGGAAGGAAACTGAAGTATAGAAAAGTTAAGTACCTGGCCTGCCATTAGTGGCAGAACCCAGACTACCACCAAAGTCTCTTACCTCCTAATTTATGCTCTTTCTCGTTTTATCATACGATCCTTTTCATTTGTTTCAGGCTCTGGTTTTTCGAGGACTTTATTAATTAGTTTATTAATTACCTATGTAGATGAAAGGCACAGTTCTTGCCCCAAAAGAGCTCTTATAAGAGAGGCAGAAAATGTTCTGATATAACTATTTATAGGGCTCTAAGTAAGTAATAGTGGCAACCTTTAGGATTATCTGCTCTGAACCCTATGTAGGTACTTGCCGCTTCTACAACCCTACCCTCTTAATCCATGTGATTACTACAGGAGCAGCCATGTGAAAGGGGCCCTGCCTCCTAGCTCCACCTGATTGACTCCAGGTGGGTGCCTGGCCTAAGCAGGACCAGAGTCCTTTTGAGGAAGTGTTAGAACTGCGCTTGAGAAAGATGAATTCAAGTCTCTCTTCAGGTGTCTGGATTACATAAGGCACAAAGTTCAGGAGCTGACGGTGACTATTCCATCATATGGACTGAAAGAGTAAAAAAAGCTAATCTCAAAAGAGGAGAATGAGGCAGACACACGACGAGGAGAATAGACAAGATGTATGGAGGAGAGGGAAGATACAAGGAGAGGATTCAAGACAGTGGGAGAAGAGGCAACAGAGAGAGAAAATCCTGATGGCATTTGAGTCCCTCATTGTAGCTCTTAAGGCTTACCTGCAATCCTGTGCTTGGATCCTTGAAGCACCGCAGCACCTTTACAATAATTATCTTTTTTGAATAAGTTAGAATGAGTTGGGTTTCTGAATATGTATAGTCAAAAGAGTACCAATAAAATATATTTTTGAAACAGACTGGGGAATTTGGAAAGATTTCCTAGAGAAGGAGATGTCTGAACTGAATTGCAAAGAGCCTAAAGGAATCAGGGAAAAACAGCAGATAGGACTATTTAAAGCAGAGTGAACTATATATACAAATAATGTGAGGTAAAACATGGTACATTTGGGGAGTTGCAAGTGTTTAAGTATGCTTGGAACATAGGACAAGAAAAGGTGAGGCACAGCTGAAATTTGACAGACAGGCGGAGACTGTCCTGAATTGCTTTATAAACCGTGGTAAGGTCTTTGGATTTTATTTTAAAATTAGTAAATTCTCATCAAAAGATTTTAAGCAGAGGAGTGATTGAATGAGGTTTCTCTTTAGAAAGATCACTCAGCCTGTATTATACAGAATAAATTAGAAGAGATCAAGACAGAGGCATAGAGATCCTTAGAATGTAATAGGTACTCGAGTTTGTTAATTGGGTTACAGAGAAGATGAATTTGGAAATTACTTAGTTGATAGAATCCACTTGACTGTTTAGATATAGGGGAACACAAGAAAAAGCCAGGTAGGAACCCAAGTTCCAGGAAACACCTGAGAATCAGGTCTATTTACCTATTTTTATTTCCCATTAGAATATAAGAATGTTGAGAGATAAGACTCTCTCCAGAACTCTGTCACCATCACCTAGCCCAGAGGCACCTGGCATATACAGTTATGTGTCACTTAACGATGGTGATACATACTGAGAAGTGCGTTGTTAGGTGATTTCATCATTGTGCGAACATCATAGAACATCTTACACAAACCTAGATGATATAGCCTACTACACACCTAGGCTGTATGGTACCAATCTTTTTTTTTTTCCTGCTTTATCTCCCCAAATCCCCCCTGGTACATAGTTGTATATCTTAGTTGCAGGTCCTTCTAGTTGTGGCATATTGTATGGTACCAATCTTATGAGACCAGCGTCATATATGCTGTTTGTCATTGACTGAAATATCATTATTCAGCACATGACTGTAATAAATATTACTGAATAATAAGTATTTCTAGAGTGAATAAAAGTCAAGTATGGAGAAATTCCACTTCTGGCCAAGATAGAATAACAGAGACTGGATTAACCCTCCTGCTTGAAATAACCAACATATATAAAATAAGTTTTATGTATATATAATATATACAAATATATATAAAATATATAAAATAGTTTTCAAAAGACTGGATAGCAGGCAGTAAAGGACAGTGATTCCCAAGAGACGGGAAATAAACAATGTGAGTCTTTTGTTTGCCCCACCTTAATGTCCTGAGAGAGTTTCCAGACAATAGTGCAGGAAAAGGGATCCCAAGCAGTTTCCAGCATACTCACTCATTTGGGGATATGGAGCTGAGAGTTAAGAGAGACCAAGGTGCCCAGAGTTTTCAGGCCAAGTACCAGGAGAGAGAACTCTGGAGATATGCCAAAGGCTCCCTCAAGTATAAGTGCATGATCGAGGAAATTAGGCCAGGGAAAGACTCACCTGAAAGCATTAGAGGAATAACACACTCACACAGGGCCAAAAATAGTGTCTTTCCCACCAGTAGGACTAGAAAACTTCACAATTCACAGAGCATTGGGTAGAGTACTCAGAAGCACTCAATCATGGGAAACAGCTAGCTGTAGACTAAACATAGCTCCAGTCATTGCCTTACAGACCTGAAAAGCAAGACCTGAAAAGATCAAACTATTTCCATGCAATTTAAATGCATCTCAGAACAAAACTTAAAAATACTTTTAGGAATACAAAATATCCACATCTCAACAGTGTGAAATGTACGGTGTATGGCATTGAGTGAAAACTCGTAAGGTATGCAAAGAAGTTGGTAAATGAAACCCAAATATGGCATGGATATTAGAATTAGCAGACAAGGACACCAAAACAGAAGAAAAGATTAGTGAATTTGAAGACATAGCAATACAGACTATCCAAAATAAAAAACTGAGAGAAAAGTGAATCAGAAGAAAATGAACCAGAGTATCAGTGAGCTACGGGATGGCTTCAGGCAGCCCAAAATTTGTGTACTTGGAATCCTGAAAACAGGGAGTCAGAGCAGAAAAAAATATTTGAACAAATATTGGCTGAAAAATTTCCAGATTTATTGAGAACTGTTAACCCACAGATCAATAATACCAAGCTCAAAAAACATGAAGAAAACTACAAGGCACGTCATAATTGCTCAAAATAAATGATTAACAGAAAAGCTTAAAAGTAGACAGTGAAAAAAGACACAGAGGAACAAAAATGAGAACAGCAGATTTCTGCTAAATGCTCTTGGCCACTTTGACCTAGTTGACATTTATATATCAATTACAGTAGCCGAGTACACATTCTTCTCAAGTGTTCATGGAACATTTACTGAAACAGACTGTTTTCTGGGCTATAAAACAAGTCTCAATAAATCCAGTGTTTTGGATTTTAGCCCTTCTAACAGGTTGTGGTGGTCTCATTGTTTTAATTTGCAGTTCCCTAATGAGTAATGGCATTGAGCATCTTTTCATGTGCTCCTTTGCCATCTGTGTATCTTCTTTGCTAAAGTGTCTGTTCAGATTTTCTTGCCCACTTTTCAGTT